TTTTTTTTTTGATTATGACATTTAAGAGGTCCTCTATTTAAATCAGGAAGTGAATCATTCTGAATAAGGGAAGAACTTAAGATTCAGTTCTCAATTGTGTGTATTTTGAGATTGGTCCTGTTGTTTGTAATTACTAATTCATTAATTCAGCAAAATTTTACTATTCTTTGTGTCAAGAACCTATCCAGGTCCCAATATAGCAGTGAACCAAATATAACAACCCGTGACTTTATGGAGCTTTTAGTCTAGTGCAGAGAGCTAGAGGATTTACAGCAAAAGGAGGCCAGAGCTTCAGAAAAAAATTACCAGCTAGGTGACATTAAGGCAAAGACTCAGAGTGTAGGGAGTGAACTATGAAGTTTAAATAATAAGAAAATTTTAAATAAAGCTGATTTCTTTCCCCAGGTTAGAGAATCAGTGATAAATCGTTTCTTAATTGCAAAACACCATTTTCTTCTTGCTGATTTGGTAGTAGAAGAAGAAGTTCCCAATATCAGGTAAAAATAATAAAACAAAGCCATTATTATCATTTCTTATAAAAAAACATTATTTGTTCTAGTATATGAAAGGCATCATATAAGATTTTTTTGTTGTATGGTATGCATTCGGGCCCAGAATAATGCTGGAAACCTGGTTAAACCTGATTAATGCCTAATGACATTAGTTAAGGGATTTCTGTTAAGACAAGTCACCCAGGAGCCTCTCCTATCGCATTCCAGTAGAGGCCATCTCACCCCGCACTACTTGCCAATCAGCTTCACCAGCCTTTGCCATCTTCTCCTTCCAGTTGAACTAAAGCTGGCAGCATTTCCCTCCTGCATGTACTCCTCCTGCTTTCCTGATCTCCTAGTGCCAGACTTTCCCTTACCCTCCCAACACATAGCAGTGGAGGTGGCTGAGACCCATCCACTAAGGTTCTGGGGTAGGTCAGGGAGGCCTGGTTCCAGCACTGCCTCTGGGAGGCAGAGAGCTGGTGCATGTGTTTGATGAGGGTAAAGGGCAGCAGGGAAAAATGGATATTTACACAGAAGTCGGGAATTGACTATATTTGCTTGATTGACTCTATTATTTAGAATAATGCTGACTGGCTTCAACTAGGGGTGGATGCATAAAAGGTGAAAGATAACATCCTATATTGGTCTTATGCAGTCCACTAAATTCACTATCTTTTCTGTGATTCAGTCTCCTAAAAATGTTTTCTTTCTATGCATTTACTTTCTATCCCCCATCAAGTTGAAAAGGAGATAAAAAATTGTGCTATCCCTGGCAGCCCCTTTCTTTGGTTTTACTTTCATCCACATGTGGAAGGGAGGCTACATGCATGTAAATTCATGCAGAACCTCTCTCTATTCCAGGCCAAGTCCGGTCGCTGAATAGTTTCACAGCCATGAAAATTATACCTAGAATAGATGATGATTTTTCATGCCGTTTTTTCTTTTCTTTTCCTTCTTTTTTTTTTTTTCTGCATTACTTTCTGCATTAAGTTCTGAAGGCTCAGGGTATGTTCTTTCTTCTTTTAATTTCAGTTTGTTCTTGGCTTTAAACTAAGATGTTTCTGTATTTAATGGTCCCAGCCAACATAGTGCTCCCATGCTGGCTGCTATGGAGGCATCAGAGTCTCACGGGAGGAGTTACCTCCAGGGGAGGGATGAAGTATTGATAAAGAAAGGCTTTGTCATGTTAGGACCCCTGGCAAAGTTGTATCTCTGAGGCCCCCAAGTTTCTGTTAGGTGGGTTCCCTGGCGGAGTGATGAAGAACATGGGCTATGTAGTCAGAGTGACCTGAGTTTGAACCTGTGCTCCCTTCCTATGACTAAGGAGCTTTCAGCAAACCATAACACCTCTCTGCGCCTCCAGTTTCTTCATCTGAGAAATGGGGTAAATATTATACTTGCAAGGATTAGAAATACTATATGTAAGGGACCCGCCTAGCACTCTTCTTGATACATGGAAGGTGCTTATAAATGGTACCTATTCTGCACACAATCCTGGAGAACAAACAGTAACAGTAGCTCCTGGAAACTCCTCGGGATTCCTTATGGTGCCTAGACAGAGCTGCGGAGCCCTCATCCTTAGCTGGTATGTGCCTCTTGCAAAGAGGTGCTCCAGTCAAGAGGCTGCTTAGCCAGCTCTCATACTCAACAGGGAGGTAGAGAGCCACGAGCACTGTGGCCTGTGGCTGGCTCTACAAGCTGGCTTTGTTCTGTGGCCATTTGGCATAATCGTTAATGTCAGCTTCCAGATACAGACACAAAGTCACATCTGTGTCTCTGTTTAGCATCTCAGCCAGAATGTATTTGCTCCATGGACCTCTCTCCCATGATTCACTGACTCTGTTGCTTTCAACCTCCAGGAAATGTTTATTGCACGTCACCTCAGTGCAAGGTAGAGGGAGATAAAAGAAGTACCCTTCTGCTCCTCCCCACCCCCTTCATCCTTCCCCCACCTCTGCCTCTTCCTTCACCATAACACTGGCATCAAAATCATTGTCATGATCCCATTAGTTGCCATTTTAGGACATCTACTAAGTGCTAGACCAGGGCCATGGTGCTTTACACACACCTCCTCATTTAATCCTCTCAACAACCCCAAGAGGCCTACAGGTATTATATTATCCCCTTTACAGATGATGAAACAGCGACTTAAAGAGGTGAAATAATTTGCCCAAGGGCAAAGAGTAGAGCCAGGATTCACACCCAGTTCTGTCTAACTCCAGAGAGCAACCTACTCTGGGCACCGCCCAAGCAGCTGTACACACTGACAGTCATGTGAAGGGAGCTTGAGACTTCCAGCAGATGAGCTGGGTCTCTGGGGGAGGGGGAGGCACTGGCCCTGAGGGATGGGTAAAACTGCAATCAACTGGCAGGCGTGGAAGACAGAGGGAGGCATTCCTCCTGCAGGGACTGGCACCAGCAAAGGTGAGGTGGGAGGGCACCAGGTAGTTTGAGGGACTGGTGGGCAAGTAAGGAGATGTAGGGGCCAAATGTGGCTTTTCTTCCTCTGATAAGTAGCACCTAGAATAAATTTTAATAATCCATGCAGTAGGCTCTCCCTCATTTGGGAAGATTTCTACACTGTTTCCACCCTCCTTAAATGGAGAGAGTTTTTCAGGAGCCTGTGAGAGACCTTGGAGCAGAGTTTGGGAAGTAGTCTCACAATTTTCCAGATCTTTCTTTTCCTTAGAATCCTAATCCTGTTCTGTAATCATTAGCATTTTGGGCCTAAACCTTTTCAAGCTGGCTGAACAAAAGCGACCACTGAGGCCAAGGAGAAAAGGTCGGAAGAAGGTGACAGCCCAAAACCTGTCTGATGGAGACATAAAGCTGTTGGTGAATATAATCCGGGCTTATGACCTTCCAGTGAGGAAGCCAACAGCAAGGTAAGAACCCCCCAAACAGCCCTGGAATGGAAAGTACAGGATCCCAGCCAAATCAATCACTTCTTTATAGGAGATCACTCATTCTTAACATAGTTATTATTCAGCAGGGGTTTAGGGGTTCTTGCTGAAGCCAAGGCCCTATTGTTTGCAAGCAATAGAGTCCATTAAGTCAATCCAGGCTAAAGGGGGGATTTAATGGGGACATCTCACAGAACCCAAGGACAAGAAGTACAGCTGAACTATGTGTAGACTGCAGGGATTAAGATGGTTCTCCTGAGGCCCCATTATCTCTCTCAATTGTTTCTCTCTTGAGTTTGCTTCATTTTTCTTCATGTCATGGAAGTGGTCCATGCAGCCAGAGTACCACCAACTAAGCATCATCTTCTCAGCAGGGAGTCTGGCAGTGCTAACTTGGTCAGATGTTGATCTATGATCTAATTGCCTATAGCCAGAGAGACAGAGTCAGAAGCACCAGCCCTGGAAGGTAGGAAGTAGTTATGAGCTGGGCAGATACAGAAAAGGCATCTGTCCAAGGTTCTGAAACATACATGCTATGAGCTTAAAAATGTGACTACCTTTTATCTGTTCAGAAAAATGAATTACAACTACCATGACTCACTATGCTGGGGGCCACAAGGAGCCTTCATCCATAGGGAAGATGAGTCTTACTTATGCCCTTAGAGAACAGAGAAGGGAGGACCACGAATCAAAACTTCTTTTTGCAAGTGCCCTTACCAGTGTAATGAAAGAAAGTAGCATTTACTGTGCATTCACCATGTTCTAAGCACCATACTAGACACTTTAACAAACATTATTTCATTTAACTCTTACTAATATTACTGTATCCATTTTGCAAAAGGGAAAATGGAAGTGAAGAGCATGCAAGTGCCTTGGCCAAGGTCATTCAGCACTATCTGAGTCCATAGAAGTGCACTGTTCTGGCCAACTGATACCTTCTTTCCTTCCTAGATTCTTTCCCTTTAAGTTATTTCTCTCTCCCTCCTTCCTCTTACCCCATTATTTCACCCTATTTTTCTTTACTAATTCTTTGACCTATTTCAGAACATCTTACCATCACCAGCTGTTCCTACTGCTTTGCTACTTGTAAATGTCATGTAAGCCCTTGAATCTCTCTTGTGGCATTGCTTTCTTGAGCCCATGGCCTACCTACCCTTTTCCCTGTTTGCCTCGAAGCTCAACTGTGGGGTGAAAAGCTGCTTTTTAAAAAGAACCTGTAGGTGTTTTTTTTATTTTTTGCCTCTATACAATATTTTTGCGTTAAATCATTTCATTCAAATAATTCAAGGAAGGATAATTGATCCTTCATGCTACACAATTCAAAGTCGATGCATCAAGACAGCTCAGATATAAACTTTTCCATTAAGCCTGCCCAAATCTTCACCCTCTACCCTTACATCCAACCAAAAAGGACTTTTCATCTCCCTGACTGTGCTCCTACAGCCTACACCCATCCCTCTAGTCAACATGTATCTCACTTTACTGAGATTGTTTATATGTCTTCCTTCTAGTCTAGTCTAAGCTGAAGTGTTACCCTATTCATCTTGAATCCCAGAGTCTAACACAGGTCCTACAATATAGCAGGTACTAACCAAATGTTTGTTTAATAATATAACGGATGGTTTCCCAAAAAGAAAAGAGTTTTCCCTAGTAGCTGTTGTGTTAAATGTTCTGCTTATTATTGTCTCATAGTCTGTCTGTAAGCTTAGCTATGAAAAGGTAACAGATGGGTAAGAAAGAGACAATTTGTACTCTGCCCAGTAACGAACGTGAAATACTTGGCAAACCATAAAGTTGTTAGCAGGAAGGTGGAAGGTATTTGGAAGAGGCTCTCTGGAGATGACCTTCATTTGTTCTTTTAAGAATGGCAGCTCAGAAGGGAGAAGAGGATAAGACCCACTATCCTAACTCAAGCTAAGAGTCCCTGCACCTCCCTTTCCTAGCGAGGCTCAGCAGGCCCAGAGAAAGATTCCTCGCGTGGAATACGTAGCTTGGGGTCACTGAAGAGTGCAGGTTCAAAGGAAATACACTGGGAAAGAACCTGGACTGGGTGGGGGCAGGGCAGGCTGTTGAGGAAGGTCAGGACCTCCTGCCTGAGCGGGATTGAGGCTCTCATTTATGCGGGGGAGACAAGTCCCTACTCGGTCATTCCCTGGAGGGGAGGAGAGAGAAGGAAACATTTTCCTCTGTTCTCAGCCAGACACATAGGCCTAGGAATGCAAGCTGGGGAAAGCTCTAGTAATCACTAAGTGACTGAGGGGGACCAGAGCAGACTGAAAGCCTTCTAAAATGTCAACAAGCTTACGGAAGAATGTCTGTCATCATGGCCACCGGGGCCGTGTATAATTAGACTGTCCCTGTCATTTATTTCTTTCATACATTTTCTCTCCTAGCAAATTCCAGCAGCCATCGAGGTCTTCAAGGACATTCAGGGAAAAGCATGCTGCTTCCCCAGACACACGCAGCCCCACCCACAGTGCTGACTACCCCCTCGGCCAGGTGAGACACCCAGGTGCAGGATTTCAGCTTGGAATCTTGCCCCTTAGGTTTTTAAGAATCACCTACACACTTCATCAATGGTCTGCTTTCTGCTTCATTTTCTTTGAAAACATACTATTTAGCAAACATATTCTACTTTTGCTAATAACAAAATAATTCAATTAGTCGTTATGGATTCTTAGCATTTGCTCTTGATTTTAAGGTTTTAGTACGTCCTTTTGTAGAAGTCTCTTTTCAACGAACGATTTGCCACACAACTACAGCTGAAGGACCAAACCCCAGTTGGAATGAAGAACTTGAACTTCCATTTAGGTAAGCATATTTTCCTTTTTAGAGAACTATAGGATATTTTGAAGAAACATGAAGGAAACATGGGCTCAGCGAGAAATGGCTGAGGTGAAAAGTTTTATAGCTGGCAAGCTGGAACAAGAACCAGGTGTCCTGATACCAAGTGTTTTTCCTCTTGTACTATAGCTGACTTCATTCAAGAATAAAAATGGGGCCGGGCATGGTGGCTCACGCCTGTAATCCTAGCACTCGGGGAGGCCGAGGCGGGAGGATCGTTTGAGCTCAGGAGTTGGAGACCAGCCTGAGCAAGAGTGAGACCCCGTCTCTACTAAAAATAGAAAGAAATTAGCTGGACAACTAAAAATATATAGAAAAAATTAGCCAGGCATGGAGGCACATGCATGTAGTCCCAGCTACTCAGAAGGCTGAGGCAGAAGGATTGCTTGAGCCCAGGAGTTTGAGGTTGCTATGAGCTAGGCTGACGCCACGGCACTCTAGCCCGGGCAACAGAGTGAGACTCTGTCTCCACAAAAAAGAATAAAAATGGGAAAATGTCCAACTTGTGAAACTCAGGTGCATTGTTGGGATACTCTACTCCTCTCCAGGCTCTGGCTTCTTATAGCCCAAAGTTTTTCACTCCTTTGACCCCCCTGCCTACTCTGCTTTTCCTCTCTTCCTCATATCACCTCAAGTAAATTTGAAACTACTTATTTCCTATAAACTATACTTTCTCCCTCACCAGAAATACACAGGCATTTCAGAATCTTGTTCAAAGGATTTATATACTTAAAAGGCTCTTATTATTTCAATACTTAAAGTGACTTTAGAGATTATCTGGTCCAAGCTCTACTTATATGGAGAAGAAACTAAAACCCAAAGAGGGGAGGTGACTTAATTAAAATCACATAGAAAATTAGAGACAGAGTAAGGATTAGAGCTAGTTAAGTCAGAAGAGGGGGATAGGTCCCACTATCATACATGGAGCAAGCAAAAAGAACAAAAAAACTTAAGGGCAAATGCTCAACAAAATGCACACAGTACCGCAGTCTCCAGCCGTGCCATGGAGAGGCATGCTTAGGCTGGCCTTGGCTCGACTCAGGGTAGGTTACATCACAGGAAACAAACCTTACCCTTGTATTGCTTTACTTATTTCGAGGGAAAGTGAGTGGGAGACAGGGACCATTCAACCAGCCATAGAACAATAGGAGGTTTATCACTGGGGAATGGCCTTGCTGGAGAAGCACCTTCTGGAGCGCAGTTGCTTAGGAAGTCCATATACTAGTTCCTCCAGTGTCAGCTAGAGGCCGGGTAGCCTGTCCTCTAAGCCAGCTCAGTCCTGGTAAGCTGCCTCCTGGCAAAGCTTACCCCAGGGTCGGGCGTGGGGTGAGGGTGAGACTCATCAGGACAAGCCAGCAGAGGGTTTGTCTCTGCATGGAGCCTCCAGTCTAATGTTATTTCCATTTGAGTGTAGGTGTCATACTGTAGTATCCCTGCACAAGATAAACCTTGGAAATGAAAGCACTGCTTTTAATCCTCACATCTATGCTCACATTTGGGTATTTTTCAAATGTTGACATTTGAGTGTTCATCATTTCTATTTTGCCTGTTTTCACAGTCCCTGGTCATGTGTTATTTTACAGGGCCCCTAACGGGGATTATAGCACAGCCAGTCTGCAGTCAGTAAAAGACGTTGTATTCATTAATATTTTTGATGAAGTACTATACGATGTCTTAGAGGTAAGTTCTCAGTTTTGAGGAAGACATTTGTACTCATTATTCATATTCTCCACCCACTATATAAGTTCCAAATACACTTTCTACCTTTCTTATGTTTGAAATATTTAAAACGAGATGTATAAATGGGGAAGGGGGGAGGAGAAAGAGAGCTAGCTTTTTAATTTTCAGTCCAGCGTTCTGTGCCAGGAATTGTACTAGGTGTTTTACATATATTGTCTTATTTAATTCTAAGTAGTTCTATAGGTTGCTAAATCTCTAGCGTATTGATGAGAAAACTGAGGTTCAGAGAGGTCAAATGACTTTCCTAGGGTTCACAAAGCCATTAAGTCTTAGAACCAGAATTTGATTAGGTCTGTCTAACCTAAGTTCACATGCTTTTAGCTAAAATATTGCTGTTTTCCTGCTGCAAAGTTAATTACATGAGTGTCTGGAGTTCTTAAACAATTATTACTTCTACCCTTCCTTTAGGATGACCGGGAAAGAGGAAATGGAATCCATACCCGCATTGAGAGACACTGGCTGGGATGTGTGAAAATTCCATTTAGCACAATATATTTCCAAGCAAGGGTAAGCATCTAAGGTCAGAATTCCATGAAAATAGGGAACTGCTGTATCCATTTTTCCTAATAAAACTTTGTGGGGATATGCCCTCAACACTGAGAAAACATACGTGCAAAGCTTTTAAAAAGATTTAATAAAACACTATATAATGCCATTGATCTTCCATATCACATTTGCATGACTTATCTATGCTCCTCAGAGTTAGTAGTTAATGTATGACTATTCAAATTCGAGAATTATTTAAACATTAAATAGAAGTGAAGAAGGTGGGACAAAGTAGAAACTTGTCAAAATGACAAAAGTAGAATGGATAGATGCCTGAATGTAACTTGAAGAAAACAGGGCAGTTGACGGCCCATTCAATCAAGTGCATTCTGTTAATATTTCTCGTCTTCACTATTTAAAACATGAAAAATGGTTAGCAGAAACATGCTTAACAAAGACACCCTTCTCCAGAGTTAATGGTTTTGCTTAAGGGGATCCATCAGGTTGTCAACTCTTGAATGACTTAGTAGCTCTAATCTGGGACAGTTAAAGATTTTGAAATTATTTTAACATCCCAGTATTAAGTCCATGGCAACAGGAGGCTTTGAATCACTATGACAACCACACAGAGCAAGTGTTGCCTGGACCACAGAGTCTATGGCAAGACCAAGACCAAAACTCAAGACTAAAAGGCTTGGATTGGTTCGAATCTAAAGGATCAATTAAAATTGGAATCCTCCCTAGGCAAAAGGGACAGTCTACAGGTTATGCAGTGATGTGCTCGCCAAAAGAATTTACATTTCCCTGTCCAAATAGATTTTAATTGGGGGAAAAAAACCTTAAAGAGCACATCATTCTGCAAATCAAACAACCTATGATATTTGGCATTGCTGAATTTCACATTTGGAAGGGTACTCAGAAGTAATTACTCTAGACTCCTTTGTAAGTGAATTTCCTTCACTATATCCCAGGAATGTCCATGCTTTCCTTTGAGTGCCTCAAGAATTCACTTGCAGGAAACTCACTACCTTGTGAGGCAAGGTAGTGTTCTCTTTCTCTTGTTCTCTTTCCAATAGTTTTGTCCTTAAATTCTTCCTTGCACTGTGCCATAATCTATGTACTTCCCTGTTATTCCCATTTTTAGGTCCTAGTTCAGTTCTCTTGAGCTACATATAACAAATAGAATCCTGATTCAGTAATGATATTACTAATAAGTATATTTATTGGGCACATATTATATACTATTGCTAGGTGGTTTATATGTCACTCTATTAAACCTCACAACACAATTGGCATCATCATCCCCACTTTATAGGTGAAAAAACAGAAGCATAGAGAGATGAAGTAATTTACTCAAATCAGAAAGCTTACAACAGAGTTGGCATTCAACTTTTACCAACTTTCAACATGCTGATGTCATGCATGCCTGGGAAATGAGATCGGTAAAAGGAGAGAAAACTATTCAATTTTTTGGTTTATATTTTAGCATATCTTTGGATAATGATTTTATTACATTTGTCATCTAAAAAGTTTTATCTGACTCCAAAGCTCATGTTTTTCAATGTACCGACAGGGAACATTTGGCAATGTCTGAAGATATTTCTGGTTGTCACAACTAGTAAGGGATGCTGCTGGCATGTAGTGTGCAGAGGCTAGGGATGCCGCCAAACATTCTGCAGTGCACGGGATGGCCCTCTGTAACAAAGAATGATTTGGCCCCAAATATCAACAGTGCCCAAGTTGAGAAACCCTGTCTCAAATCCTTATACTCCAAATCTTTAAAAATAGGATGTTTTCTCCTATGTCATCTATTTTATAGAAAAAATGTGCTCAGTTATTTCAGCTGTATTTTTTATGTCATTGTTTTTATACTGTTGTTTTCCCTATACCCTGTCATCTGATTGGGTTCAAGCTTTGGTGAATTCTGTCAATATAAGGAGGAAAATAAATAATAGCTTACTTAATTCATCCCTAGAAGGGCATATTCACTGAAAGTTTGAGCTCTTTTTCTATTTCTCCTAAGACTTGAATACCACTAATGACTGAAATAGAAAATGAATTCTCTGTAAATTGTGAATTTCAAATTCCAGCCCTGAATAGTTTTGTAGTGCTACACAGTCTTTAATAAATTTGTTGTTACTTTGACTTTGTAAGAGTAAAAAAGTTCTGCCTCTGTGAACCTCTGTATAACTTAGTCCTTTTTGTGGAAGTGGCTTGCCATCATTCCGCCCACATTTATTGGGCATCCACTATGTATACAAAACACTGCTATACGTCAGAGAAGAGTGATACAAAAGAGGGTAAAATATAGATTCTGTTCACAGACAGCAGTTATCTAGAAGACTATGACAAATACACACACGATTATAAAGTCAGACAGAATGTAAGAAATGAAGGAAATAAACTATCTGTGAGGGTAGTGAGACAACATTTGACCTAAGCCTTGAAAAATGATTAAAATTCTGAAAGGTGGAGATGGGAAGCTGGGCATTCCAGAAAAGGGGAATAGCTGCTAGCCAATATTTATTGAGTGCTTACTATACACCAGACATTTTTCTTAGTGTTCAATATCTATTAATGCATTTAGTACTCATAACAACCTTACAAAGTAGGTACTATTATCATCTCTTTTTACAAATGAGAAAGCAGAGGCACTTGGAGTTTAAACCAGGATTTGAACCCAAGCAACTTGCATAACCCTCTACTAAACAAAAAAAAGGAGGCAGGGAAATATAGAGCCCTTTCTGGTGAAAGATTAGGGAGACGAGGTTAGAAAGATGGGGTGAGTTTTGAGTGCCAGTCTGAGCAGTTTTCATTTAAGTCATGAGACACTGAGGAGTTGACACTTGTCTTTGAAATTCTGTTGGAAAAATTGCCAGGATGTTTACCAAGTCATATTTTCTTCACAGATTGATGGAACATTTAAAATAGATATTCCCCCAGTTCTTCTGGGCTACAGTAAGGAGCAAAACATGATTATTGAGCGGGATTTTGATTCTGTCCGAAGCTTAAGTGAAGGATCCTACATTACCCTGTTTATTACCATTGAGCCTCAGTTGGTTCCTGGAGAGTCCGTTCGAGAAAAGGTAACTGTTCGTCGTCACCATGTCTGATGTTGAGGAAACACGAGAAATGCTCACTAGGCTATGCTTTTATACACTTTGCACTACACAAACAGGTTTCCTTACTTCAGTGTTCACTTATTATTCTTCCAGTTTGGACAGAGTGATGGTGAGAGAACAGATGTGTGGGTTTGTACTTTCACTGAGCCCATAATTAGGTCAATCAGCAACTCAGACATTTAGGCAAAGCAAGACAAATATAAACATGCTCTGCTTTTAGAAGAATTTTCTCAACGTGAAGAAAATGAAATATAACAAACTAGGAAATCAGATTGCTTCTTTTGTTTGACATTTATTGGCAAACATGCTGAAACACATTTTGAGGTCTGAACTCACATCCTTGGCTGTGCTATGCATTGAATCAATTCATAAGATCATAAGAGTTAAATGACCTTCATGGGTTACCTCGATTCACTTTATGAAACAAATATATATATAAGCACTCTTTTAAACAGCTTTAGAAAAAGAGTCTCTAGAACTTTCATTTGTTAGCAACTGTTCACCATCCTTCATCATTGAGAAGTGACTTTCTTAATGTAACATACTTGCACAGCACTTATGCATTAACACCCTCATTCGATTTGGGAGAAAATATTGTGACCACTTATTCATATGTAAACGAACACAGTATTAACAATCACCACCACCACCAAGTTACATTGAGTCCTTACTCTGTCCTCAGCACTATATTAGACCTCGGGTACGTGTTCTGTCCTTCAATAGTCATAGCTGTCATGCATGATGGGTCTCCAACTTACAGATGAGGAAAATAAGGCTCAATTTATCCAGGGTCACACAGGCAGAGGTAACACTTAAATGTCTGTCTGACTTTAAATTGTATATATTCAACACATATTTACTGCACATCCTCTACGTGGCAGGCATGTTTTAGGCACCGGGGTGCAGTATCCTAGAGAAACAGATAAAAATTCTGCTAAGCTTATATTCACGTGTTAGCGCAAGCTGTTAACTACTAAACTATACTGCACAGATTATCATGCTGACTCTTTAGTGTATCCATTGTGATTAAGACTCAGATGGAGATGAAGGAAAATGAGCACGTTGTTGTTTCTTTTACAATATTACAATTTGGTTCAAAGAGAAAAATAATATCGCTACCTCCCATTTGCAAGTCATTTACAAAAGGACATGAAAAAATATTGGAAAAACAAATGTACTGAAATTCAAATTAATCTTATTTGCTAGGCTTTGTCACTAAAGCTGTGGTTCTCTAGAAAACATTAGAATATGTACATTTCAAAATATTTTTAGAAAATATATTTTCTGAATGTTTGTATTCACGTGTAAACTCAAGAGAAAGCCAACAAACATGTTTACACAGAAAAATGCTCCCAGAAGAAAAGATGATTTTGTGATTTCTGTGTATACTTAACCAAAGAAAAAATAGTCAGCTAGCACCCCATCTGGAAGTGAGCTTTGAAAACACGTGGAAGCAGCCTGGGACTGGCAGAAATGATGAAAACCTGGGGCTGTTCTACACTAGGCATCCCTCACAGGCCCTGACCTCCTATTGGAGGACTTTGAAGAGGCCTCCAGGGCTCCGAAACATACAGTTCTCAAGTCCTGCAGCCATCCTCTCTCAAGCTGTTGACTAGCAGTCAGCTACTATCTTTGGTGGCATGTCACTGCCCAGTTGTGGCTGTATGAAGCATTTCTCTTAGACCTCTAAAAACAAGGGCTTAAAAAATTCCTATGGAAGGCAGATTCTTTGTCGCCGTTTGAGAAGGAAGGAATGCTGATTGACAGGACCCTAATGTCCAAACAGCAGTGACAGGAAAACACCACTCAGTAATCCACCTGCAGACCATTCAGGAAAGAGAAGCTCTTATCCTAAAATAATAGGGACCACAACCAGGAATTATTTTTCCACTTACAGCAACTTCCAGGGTTAGCAGATTAGAGTCTCCCTTCTACCACCATCCCACACATAACCATTCAGTAGGGTGTTTTAAAGGTATTTACTATGGGAACATTTTTATAAATCAGTAGCAACTCCTGAAACTCTTATTTTAACGTCATCTACCTTGTCTTGGTTAAGAACAAGTTGTTAAAAATAGATTATTTCTGTTAATAAAGCCTTCCTCTCATTTCTTTTTTTTTTCTTTCTTTCTTGCCTCTGATAGATGAATGCCATGCTTAAGAAGGTACCAAGTGTTTTGTTTTACAATTCATCAGTCAATAGTTACTAGGCTTTAATTAGCTGCCTTTGTCCACTGCCATCTGGGGACAGGTACTGGGTCCTAATGTATGCGTGATCCCTGGGCAATGAACTATAGATGTCTGCAGTTCCATGAAGAATGTCCAACTTTGTCTTTTGGCCCATTTCATTTTGTCAGAAAGATTTTTAGTTATACTAGCTTTGAACCTAAGAAATCATCAGTCTGAGCATCACCTGCACAATGGGCGCTACCTCCACTATTTCCAAATCCATAAAATCCAAGAGCTGCTTCTTACAGAGAGTGTATCTCTGACAATTATTTCTGGTGGCTTGAGGCTGTCACAGTGTAACTATTCAAAGGCAGGATGAACCCACTTGGCTTTCTGTAAATGTTTACATTAACCTAGAGGTCAAAGAATTGAGCCAGTTAAGAACCTTTTAAATTTTGTGTTGAATTTGTCAATTCCACCTTAATTTGTCTCATAATAAATAACTTGAATTTAGCTTTTTCTTGGCACTTCTTAGATTACCAATATAGCATAGTACTCCTTTAATTCCTGTTTCACTCCATGAAATGGCATTCTGTTTGCCTAAACAAGTATAATGGGTCTTAATAGACACGCATTAAATGCCCACCAAGTGCATGTTAGGTGCAGGAAGGAACACAAACTTACTCAAACACAGGCCCTGCCCTCACAAAACATTAGCTATATAGTCAAGGTACACAGCAGAACATTCAAGTCCAAGTGGTAGAAAAATCTTTAGACACACTTTTTTCAACTTGGAAGGCCAATAATCAATACTGATTTAAGATTTTTGGTTCTTTCTGGACAGTGCCTATAGATGCCTCTCTTAAAATGCTCCCATAGCACCCTATGTATATCCCCATAGGATCTTTGGTCAAGTATTTTAAGTATCTGATTGCTATATTAATGTTCTCCTGTAGACTAGAAGTTCCTTGAGGGGATTGTTTCATACCCATTTATCCAGAGTGCCTGGAACTTTTTAGTCTCCCAATAAACATTTTTCACATAATTGGATGAATGGGTAAATGAAAGAGTTTAAAAGAACAGGATGAATTCAACTGCGTGGTTTTTTCCACATCATTCTTATTTTATAATTCTCCGTATTTCTACAATTATTATTATTTTTGGTTTGACAGTTCCATCCTAGGAATTCATGGCACACCCACATCAAAGCCTTATGAGTTCACCTTTTTCATTTAATTATTTATTTATCTTAACCCCTATTGGGTAACCACTGTGTCTTGGCACTATGCTGAATGGTAGGCAGTTAAAATGATTATGTTAAGATTCAGATGTCAGGGGGACAATCCATGAGGAAATATAGGAGGCTTCTGGAGATGTCTCCATCCAAAATAACTCCCAAGACCAGTACTGCAACTTCTTGGGGTACCACAATCAAATTAGAAATGAAAGCCACAGTCCAGCCCCAATATAAGAGGAAGTCAAGAACAACTGGCATAATCTAGGTTCTGAGGTCACAGAAAAACGTAATAAAATGTTTTATATTCACACAACAATATTTGTTTAACACTTATTATGTGTTAGGTAGTGTTCTTGGTACTGGAAGTGAAAAAAAAAAATGAGATTGAAATAAAATCCCTGACTTCAGGAATCTTACACTATGGGGGAGACAGAGTAAACAAATATATGTGTCAGTGGCTATAAGTGTTAAAAAGAAAAATATC